AATAAGTGCAAGTATTTTAACTAGTAGTATAGTTCAACCCCAGAAACACGCCTATGAGATTTTTTTCGCGAAAATTTCGGAATTTTGAAACAATTGAGAAAAGTTTTGGAATTTTTTTTGGTTTTTAGTTGATAAACATAATTTCTCGATAGTATGGCACCATAGGTAGTAGATTAAATTTACAAGAAAGAAAATCCAGAAATGATCCAGTGGTTCCCAAAATTGGAGCAAAAAGTCATTTTTTGAAAATTTTTAAAGTAAAATAACTTCGTTATTTTGGACTTGTTTGAAAAACCATAAGAGAAAATATGTTTCTTTTATCGAGATCTACCACCCATTAAAATACTTGCACTTATTTCTGGGACACACTGTATATATTCGATACCAATTAAACTTTTAGTTGCGTAATCGAGGGCGCGATTTTTAAATTCAGTGTTGCCAACCATACGGCGCCGGGCGACTAACTGATTTGAGGTGGTAGGTCTGCTGTAAAAAAATGTCAAGTTGCCACATTTATTTACTGATTTCCTGACATTATCATTCGTTTTGATATTTTAAATTTTGTATTACGAGTTTTTGGTTTAAATAAATTATGTTGTGATACTTTAAGATTAAAATTTTTACTAGCAGACCATGCAGTCGAACATTGTTCGAGTTAGAACCTCTTTTAGTGTGAAGTGTACAAGATAGGTTAATACGTAAAAAAACTCATCGCAACTTTATTAGAATAGTTTGAACGGGAAAGCGGTAGTAATGGCCCTTTATGTCCCCTAAGTGCTGTTAATAAGATCAGTTTCGTTGATGTGAATAATAGCTGATTATATATTTATAATTAATTTATTTTTCTTTCCGAAAATATTTTGATTAAAAGAAAATATGTAAAAATGGGCCACGCTGTACCGGTCAAGTTTAATCACGTGACTAAATGTTTATTTAATATGAACTCTAGCTACTCAGTAAAACGCCTTTTGGATTTAACTAATTAAATAACTAGAATTAGTTAATTGTACAGCTCACTGTAATTTAATAAGCATAGCAAGGCAAAGCCACAGATTATATCAGATGTAGCACTTATTCCATCTTGCTGGTAAACGCCGCCGTGGCCTCGGATCGCCTCGGACCTTTAACTCGAGTATTGGCGTTGTCAGACTTCGTCTTTTTTCTGGAATGCATTGTTGCCTTTTGTAAAAAATGTATTCCTAATTAAAATTGGGAATGATTTTTTTTAGATTTTTGTCACATCTTATCTCTCTTACAAACAAGATTGGTTGACGAATGAAGATGTATTATGAATACTAAAAAAACAACCAACTGATCAGGTAATAGCCTTTTTATTATTAAAAGCCAGAGTTTTTATGTCTTAATAGTAGTTGAGTATAACAAGTTTACTATAAAAAGTTGAGTATATTAGGATTTTGTTTCTTAAAAATCCACTGTCCGTAGAGTCGACCGGATCGCAATATGATTTACATTTTTATTTTTTAATTTAAATCGGAAATTTTAAGAGAAAAATATAGGAGGTAAAGAATCTAAATTAATCAGCCTGTAGTAATAGTTTCTAGTACATGGTTATAGGCAGAAGACGCTACTCCGTAGAGGAAAAGCCTTATAATTTCAGGAAGTATTGGTATTATCCCCAGAAATATAATTTCATCCAGTCATCATGAAGAACATTATGCATTAAAATATACAAAAATATTTACTATGTATCTTTAAACGGCTTAAAATAATACACTTAATGACTGAATGGTAGTGTATAATTGGGTTTATAGTCCAACGATAATAAATAAAATAAAACCAATAACAATCCGTAAATCAAACTAATAATTTTACCAAATAAAATATCTCTTTTGTAGACCAACAAAACAACATGGCTAGAACTGAAGTAATATTGAATTTTTACTTTTTCGCTAAATTTATATTGATATTAAAATGAATACTTACATTTTAAACGAAAACTTGAAGTGTTTATATTTTATCATTTATTTTGGTCACTCAATAAAAAAATAATCAAAATAATGGCTCTTGGGCTCATATTTCAGTGGGCGTCTTGACATAACTGATATGGGTAACTTCAAATATTATCTGCTATATTGAATTTATTGAAAATAGTATATTGTTTTATTAGGAGTAAAAATGATACCTTTTATGGCGAGGCTGTACGTTTGAGTCCGGCATTACAGGCGAGGCACAAAAAGTCATTTTTTCTCCGAATGGAAAATGTTACTTTTTTCAAACGTCACAAATAATTTTTTAAACAATTTCAAACGATGTAACTAACATAAAAATATTTAAAATTAAAACCTTTTAACTAATTATACAGTGTGGTCTGAACTGTATTCCAGAAACTTAAGCAGCTAATTTTGCAGATAAAAATAAGTAAAAAAGTTCATATAAATATAGGCTCTAAAATGCTTAGTTTTGGAGATACAGGGTGTAGAAGTTTAATTTTTATTTCGATTTTATTTAAATTATTTCTGAAGTAACTCAATATTTTGATAAAAATTAGTGTCTGGAATTTTTTTGACATGATAAATTTGACTTTGATGACTCCTACTTGTAGAGGGCGCCACCTACATATTTTTTAACTAGTTTGAAGAGTAATAACTTTTTGTCCGTACCTGTATAAAACTACAGAGTAAATAATGTACATTTATGACATTTTTTAAGTAAAAAAAGGTCTCTTGGTAAAAATCGCTACGAGTAATGGTTCTCGCAATATTTGGAATCGAAATTATCAATAGCTGTCATCATTGACATAAATTAAACATGTTGACTAAATAGTTATTGTAAAAAGTTATTAGAATTTTTCAAAGAAAAAATTATGATGAAATTAGAAAAATAAAATTTCCAAATTTATCTCTTTTAGTTAAATAACTATATACTCAACATGTTTATTGTTTGTCAATAATGACATGTATCGTAGCAATTTTTACAAAGAAACATTTTTTATATAAAAAATGTATATTTTTTCACCCAGGTGTTTTATACAGGTACGGACGAAAAGTTATTACTCTTCAAAACAGTTAAAACAAGTGCAGGTGGCCCCCTACAAATAAGAATCATATTGACATCAAAATCAAATTTCTTATATCAAAAAACTGCCATACACCAATTTCCATCCAAATATTGACATTACTTCAGAAATTATTTGGAAAGAATCGAAATAAAAATTAAACTTCTACCCCCTGTATCTCCGAACTAAGCAATTTAAAATATACATTTATACGAACTCTTTTACTTATTTTTATCTGCAAAATATGCTGCCGAAGTTTCTAGAACACATTTCGGATCACCCTGTATATCGAGAAACTATGGTTACACTCGTTTAGTTTGACACTTTATGTCAGTTTAATAGTATATTTTCGTACTTTTGTGCTTAGGCATTAAAATGACTTTTTTATATTGTCAATCACATCGCAAAAATTAATACTTTTGTGACATTTGAAAAAAAAGTTTTAATAAAAAATTTAAATTTTGAATAAAAAAAAAAACGTGCAATCACTATGTTAGTCCAATTATTCAAATTGTATAAATCCGTTTATCCTAAATCTATATTATGGCAAAATAAACTGAAAATATTACGTTCTAGATAAACAGAGCGATTCATTTATCGAATGATTAATTCCGTTCGTATGGGTTCTACTTTATTTTGACCGTTTGACATTAAAATCATTATTTTCCGAAATATACGGTTAAAGAGCATATACATTTATGATATTTATTTGCTGGATTTAATTAAATATTGCTAAGTAAATAGGACTATAATATTTATAAAGATGCGCTGACCACCACGAATAACGTTTGAGTCCTCAAAGCAGATTCAAATTTATTGCGTAAACAATGTTGCGTAATCATTACTTAAACTTATTGATCATTGATTAATTTTTAAGCAATGTGTAGCTAAATTGTTTGATCTTCTATTATGATTTATACCTGATGCGTCTCAAAAGTGGTTCGCCTCTATAATAACTTTGTTATTTTTTCCGATAAAAAAACGAGATTTGGTATGTTAGTATGTACTTATCATAAATTATTAGGATTGATTAACGTATTCACTTGTTTGGTCATTTCAGGTTTCACCGGAAATGGCAACAACTTTTGATTTATAAACTGCACTCTCTCCTCGATACAAAATATCACTCAACTTTTAACATTTTTGCTTAAAAAAATCGTATTTCAAATTTCAATCTAGAGTACCATGGCTGTGTTAAAAACACTAATTTTTAACCAAGAAGCCTTGGAAAAATAGGTTTGATCGTCTAATGTTTTTCGTGTCTTGTTCTGGCCGGTTAAAAGATGCCCAGATCGTATTTTTAGTCATATCTCAATTTTGTCAACAAGGGTGGCTCATTAGCATATTTGGCAAAAGCGTTTTTTACGAATAATTTGGTTTGGAACACACACTTGGTATTTTTCAAGTCAAATTGTCGTTATGAACCGCATGTTACAATTTCAAATAAACCATATGCGAAAATGTCAAAAGTTGATACATGATATGTAATTCCATTCAGCGTGTCATTTTCTATCGAATAAAGTAACAAAATACCGAGGGTGTAATTTAAAAATCAAAAGTTGTAGTCATTTCCGGTGAAACAGGAAGTGACCAAAAACAATTAAATACGTCAATCAATCTTAATAATTTATGTCATATACTAACATACCAAATCTCGTTTTTTTTTCTGAAAAAAACAAAAAGTTGAATGGGGGGTGAATCACTTTTTAGACGCACTCTGTAAATGATTCCCAAGAGTAATTTCCAAGCCAACTCTGAGGCCGTTTTTTTTTCGTTTTATGGTACTCCTTGCTTCGCTTGGTTATCCACGAAAAGGTGGGAAGTACACATTAGATTCTGAGAAAAAAAATTATTCAGAGTAAAAAATATAAGGCAGTAGTGGACAGATAAAAAATAACACACTTTTGAATTAGTCCTCGTATCGAAACTATAACTATAGATCTCCAAAACCGCTTAATCACTTTTTTTGCCACTCATATATTTATATCCGAATGAACTAGACTTTTTCTCTAGACGGTATCGGTCAAATCACGCAAGTATCGCGAGTCTATCTTCATTATCCCAAATTGATAAAAACTAAACGTGATAGTAATTAAAAATTAACTTCATAAAAAATAGCGATAAGAAATTAAAAGTAATGCCGAAAGATTATACCGATATAAAACCGTAGCAGCCGATCAAAAGTCTGAGAAAGTGTATCCTCCATCACCACTAAAGAGCAATTCCGCGTAGTACCATGTCAATCGTAGTTCTTAGTGTCGTTTACGCGCTATTGTTGTTAGTGCCAAACGCTCTGGCTTACAATATTTTAGTAGTGTTCTCGCACCCGGGCAAGAGTCATGTGGCAGTGTTTAGTCCGTTGGTTAAAGAGTTGGATAGGTTGGGACATAACATCACCCTAATAACTTACGTCCCTGTAGCTGATAACACAACCAAAAACACCAGGGTAATTTAAATTATTAATTAGGACTTAGCATTATCATTTAGCAGGAAAAATACCGCAGCATTAACAATTTTATTTAAAATATTTGTTATTCATAAAAATATTATAGTAGATTAAATTTACAAGAGGGAAAACCCAAAAAGGAATGAGTGGTTTTCAAAATTTAAGCCAAAAATTATTTTTTTTTTGGAATTTTCAAAATAAAATATCTCGGTTATTTTGGACTTATTTGAAAGACGGTAAACAAAAAATGTTTCTTATATCTACCAGCTCTGAAAACATTTGCTCTTATTTAAAACTCACCCTGTATATATTAAGTATAAACAAAGCAAGTTTGAAATCCTTCCTTTCTTTATAATTTAATCTTTAAAAGAATATTTAAATAGGTATTATAAATATTTAAAAAAGTGAAAATATAATTATTATTGTCTATACCTATGTGGCGGATTTATCTCTCCAAAAAAAATCCTTTATGGGTATTTCGCCACTGCACTGCAAGAAAATCTACAAAATAAAATAGTTATTTTTTGTAAACACTTCTGCGTTAAACCTAAACGGACTCTGCTTGTCAGAAGTTATGTTTACAGTTATACAAATTTGCTTAACAAAGAAAAAAATGCTTAACGTTTCAGAAAGTTTATCTCTTACCGTCGTCGGAAGCAAAAAAAATACAAAGAATAAAGAAAAAAAACTATTTAAAATATTTAAATTCAATTATTCCAGAACACTTTACTTTTTTAAAACAGATACGTCTACAAGAAACCGTTGACGTTCTGTTAAAATGACATTATATCCAAGTTACACTTCAAAATTAACAATTACTACCTGATAACAATTACTTAATAAGGTAAAACCAAAAAGCCCAAACTTTCTGTATATTAATTTTACGTATGTTTTGTTTATTTATGTTATGTTCTTTAAAATCAAAGAAGCGATTGCCATACATTACTAACATCTACAGATGAATGAGCAATACATTTATTTTTATTAGATTGAATTAAAAAAGCCTCTTTTATTTTTCTTTTAGAGGCTATCGCTTCTTTCATTATAATTTTGGTAATTATTATTGATCCACAACTATGTTGAAAATCATTAAAATAATATATTATATTAGTAAAGCAATATTTCATATCGCATGTTTTACGAATTGAAATGGAATATAAGTGAATTATATTTTGATTTGTTTCATCAAACATAATGACATAATACAATTAATTTGAATAAATGCCAAAAATATAATAATAGAAGCTGTAATGTAAAAACGAGTATATATAAATTAATTAAATAAAAATAAATACATTAAACATGCATCAGTATATGAATTTAAATAAAAATAAATACATTAAACATGCATCAGTAAATGTATTTTAACACAATTTTTTAAATTATTTAAAATATCGCACATGCATTATAAATCTAAATGAACAATAGGTTAAAATTTGTACAATAGGTATATTGTACAACAGGTTTATTATATTTTGATAACAACTAAATAATAAACTACAAAATGACAAAATTAAATTAGTATATCGAAATGCTTAACCATAATTTATAATAAAATGTTTAAACATAACTGAATTTTATAATTAGTTAATAATAATATATCTAGTATAATTGTTTTATTATTACTTTTTTTACTTAATTTTATTTTTAATTATTTATTTTTGTTAACAATTTTTAAACAATTTCGTGTGTAAATTTTCCTAAAATATAATTTTGCTGTCAGAACCATGACTCCTGAGCATTTTGTTTTGTGATTCATGTCAATACAAAGTTTGGTTAATTTTTAAGAGCGAAATGAAAGGTGCCCGGAAGAGCGAAAAAAAAGGTGCCCGGTAGCGTAGAGGTACAGGCTCTCGTCTACCAACCTCGAGGCGCGGGTTCGATTCCCACACCCGGCATCTCATCTGCCGACTATTTTTATTAAAATAAAAATAGTTTGGGTACCTAGGTCGACTCAGCCTTAAATGAGTACTTGGGATTCACAATCCTGAGGTAATAATAGGCGGTTGAAGCGAAGTGCTAGCCACATTACCTTCCTTGTATACCGAACGGCTCTAGTATAGCAAGCTGTACCTTGCTACTCCCAAGGCGTTAAACGCTATATACGGGAGCTATTATTATTATGAACCGATCGCAATCAATTTGCAATTTTTTCAATTATCGTTACTATTTGATGGCATTTTTTAATATGACGAGATGATTTACGTGACTATTGTCGTAACGTCATATTACGCTGCATTAGATACTTAATACTAAATTTAAAAAAAAAATGTTAACTAACTAAATGTAAGACTAACGATACAGTCCTGGTTTTAATAAACATTAATAACAATAACAGAACTAACGATGTTAAAAAAAAACATCTGTAATACTCTGGTATACATATAGAAAAAAAATTGTAAAATATACCCTAATACTTTGTTATGCCTACCTGGGCTGCTATAACTACCTCTATACGTCCGTTCATACTGTCATTGAGGGTGCATATATCATATTCCTTTCCATTCTTCTTTAAGAACCAAGCGAGGTTCATTTAATGAAGCTCGTACCGCTTCGCGACCTCTAACCCTCCTGCCAAGCATTTCCCAAACGTTGAACATGACGGGCAGTTCATAGTAGTATACAGTTCACAATAATCACCAAAGCCAGCTTGTCATATTGAAAAATAACTTCAAAAAGAAATGGTAATTGAAAAACTTCCAAATTGCTGGTGGCAATTTCATTTCAAAAATTAATCAAAGCATGTATTGACATGATCACAACAAAATGCTCAGGAGACATGGTTCTGTAAAATTATATTTTAAAAAAATTTACACATAAAATTATTGCACAGGATGTTTTAAAGTCAGGGTAAAAAAACAACCCCTCACTTAACCCTGTATAATAAGCCAAATACTATAGTTTATAAAAAACTAAGTTTACGAATTAAAGTTGATATAATTATATAGAGCTTGCTAAAAAGTTCATGAAAATAGAGCTAAAAATAACAAAAATATAACACTTGAATTGACCAAACACACAAATTTGACCAAAAATTTCTGGGTTGCGTTTTTTGCATCTGAGTGTAGATCCTGGGTATAAATAGGCTGTGATTTTAAGTAAAGTGCTAAAAAGATATATTTCAATAAATAGTCTAATTTTTCATTGATTTTTAGGATATTATCGTTGGAGAACCTATGCTAGAAGTAGTAGACCTTCAAAATGCACTATCTTCAATGCGTCTGAGATCAATAGAGGGACCGTTTATGATTAGTTTTTTTGCACATGAGAGCTGCGTTAACGGGTTATCTAGTCCGGCTTTCCAGTCGTTTCTCACCGAAAACAATGAATTCGATGTCATACTCTTTGAATTTTTCAATACAAACTGTTACATGGGATTGGCCAACAAATTCAAAGCTCCTTTTATCGGTAAGTAACATCATCATCATAATAATATGATTTGTCTATCTGTCTGTCCAAACCAAACCAGACCAAATATAAAAACAAAGAAAAAATCAGTCTACATAGTTTTTGGCCTATTAGGTTATTTTTTTATAGACTTGGTCTGTTTCAGTTGATTTTAACCCTCAATTGGCGTGGTGGGGTCTAGCGGACCCCAAGCACTATTTAAACCTGTGTAAAATGTTTACGTTTAAGAATCAGGCCCCGCCGCGCCATTTACCTTTAAGTTATGGTACCATATGCAACTGTTAAAGGGGCACTTGATTTTATCTAGTATTGTTCCTACCAGCGCCAGGGGATGGCTAAAGTTTTATTGGGGTCTGTGTGGCACCACCATGCCCAGAATGTTTCATTATTAGGATGGTGGGTAGTCTAAAAAGTGTGCCTCACTGGGACGCTAATTTTGAGAAAACGTTAATTGAATGGTTTGATGACCTTAAAGAGGCTTAAGTGAGATGAAGATAATCGAGACATTGATTTTTCTCCGAAGAGTGTCCATAACTCCGATTCTGAATCTCTTACTTACACAAGAGAGAAAATTGAATAATCAATACCAGAAAAGAAAGAGCTGTGGTATATGTCAACCATACGTCAACAAAGAGATAACAAAAAACAAAAATCTCATGAATGAAATGTGCACGATCCATGTGCGGCAAATGCAGATCCTATATTAGCCTGAACTGTATTTGAAAAAGTTATGTACATTCTAGGTATGCAGTTTTGTTGAAAATAATTTTTGTTTATCACTTTAACTTTACATTTCAGTTGTTTCTACTTTTAATAATACGGTAAAACCATGAAATTATATATGCTTTTAATTTCTATGGGTTTCTTAACCAAGTTATTTTCTGTTGGCAAAAATTCCTAAAAAATGCGTTTTGCTTTATTTTTGTGTCCGTTTTTATTAATTTGTTGAAAATTAATGAAATTGTTTGTTCACAAGTTTGAATATATTGTAAACAGTGTTAAAATAACAAGCTTTTTATAAAATCTCTTCATCATATATTTTTAAGTGAAAAAAACAATTGGTGTTTATCGGACCCCAGCACGCATAAGCGGTACAAAAATTCACCACGCCAGTTGAGGGTTAAAAGTTCCGACCGCAGCGCTCTATAGGGCAGAAATTAGAAGTGCCCGACTAAAGTATTTCCAGTAGTCTCGTCACCGTTTATGTCGATCGTATTGAAGTAATATTATAATCGTAGCTTTGTCATAATATGCAAGTATTTGAGCTTTCACCAGTGCGGTTATTGAAACTATAAAACACTCAGGTACGAGGATTGTATGATGTAACGCTGTTTAGGGTAGTAAAAATGAAGCATAAAGGAACCCGAACCGGGCGTCGCCGTAACAATTTCACTGAAAAGACATGCTAATAAATAACACAACAATGGAAATAATAGAAGAATATATATATTTGGGACAACTAATACACAATATGGAAGAAACTCAATCATGTTTAAATCTAGAATGCCACTTTGCCTTTTTCAGAGTCTCAAATACACTAAGATTTTCTATATGACATCTGATATCGATGTCATATATTCATTATCTAGTGTCTCTGGGTCTGTGGACGTGGAAGGCAAAATAGATTTGTCAAGAGCGTCTTCTATATTTTTGGCCCGGAAAAGTATATAGCCAAACATTTATATTTAAATTCATCAGTTACTTTTCTTCCTTTAGCTGATTTGTGAAATTTGCTATGTCCATTGATGGACACAATTTGTACGTAGCCTCTTTAGATTGTTCAATAGATATTTTATTGGGTATTTCTTTAATTCTTGTTTGTAACTCAACTGGCATGTTTTTTAATTTTAATTGTCTAATCTCTACAGTTAAATGTTTAATTCATTTTATCATTTTTACTTTTCGAGGAGTATGGCGAGTATGCGCGGTTTACGATTCATTTGTTTAGATAAAAGTATTGTGTAAATAAAATTCAGTTTCAGTCAATTAGAGTATTTCTTTTAATACGACCCTGTATATCAATAGTTTATTTTCTGGGAAATTTTTTGATACGTTTTAATCCGGCCCTGACTCGGCACCCATAATGGTGTTTTCAAGGTCAAATTTTATAGAAATTTTAAACAATGGGATCTGGGCAGAGTTAGCCTGCCGTGTGATTTATATGCCGTGCTATCAGCATGCAGCGATGCAGAACTAAACTAAATTTTGGACAGCCTGACGATACTGCCAGTCTCATCACGGACATATTTTGTGCCACGAAATCGCCCACAAGGTTGCGCATCTTCTTATTTATTTAATCAGCGGTAATACGATGTCTCCTTGGACTGTCTTTTGTTTTCTATCAGCGTTCTTCACCAAAAAATTTGAACTTGAATGCATATCTCCATAAAAATCCTATATGGGTATTTCGCCACTGCAAGAATATCTACAAAATAAAATAGTCATTTTTTGTAAACACTGCTGCGTTAATCCAACGGAAACTACTTGTCAGCAGTTAAATTTACTGATAAACAAAGTTGCCTAATGAATTGCCTATCTAAAGAAGAAAACATTCGACCAATGTGTACTACCATTCATGACCTATGTATGCGAAACCTGGACGCTTAAAACGGACATCATAAGGAAACTGCAGGTCGCACAACGGTCAATGGAACGAAATATGCTGGGAATAACCAAGGGAGATTGTAGAAGAATACAGTGGATACGACAAAAGACCCAGATAATAGATGTCATCCATATAGAGTCAAATCCCTCAAGTGGCAATGGGCAGGACACCTGGCAAGAAGGACGGACAACAGATGGACCACAAAAATTACAGCATGGTACCAACGAGGAATAGACACCTAGAAGAAGACCGAACCTGAGATGGGACCATGATATTAGGAAATTAGCAGGGATAACTTGGGCCCGCATGGCAAACAATAGACAACCAATAGGCCCAACTACAAAGAGAGTATCTAAATATGTGAGGGAGGCTACACCATAATTGGAAGTGGTTGAATAAGTTGAAAATGATGATGATGTAAACTTAATATAATTTTAATATCAAAATTAATCATTGATTTTGATTAGTGCTTAAAACATACGCTAATATATTTTTATTGTATTACTAGCGTGTACCAGCGACTTCGTTCGCATCGAATTAATCATTTGTAATGGTGATGATAAAGCAAAACAAGAATTTCCATTAACATACAAACTGGATAAAATTTTCTCACATTTATGTCAGCATGAGAAAAATGGCGATATTATTATATAACTATTTTTATTATATAACTTAGGATATTTGAGGGGTAGTTTGATCTCTTTGGAATTTGACTTTCGAAAAATCCGTTTGCCAAAAATAAGCTTTTTACGTCAAGCAGTTTAAGCAGAATCGTGGTTAAGAAATTACCCAACTTTTTGGAACACCCTGTTTGATTTTTTAAAAAATTTCAAAATATGTAAAAGAACAAAATAAATTATGCTTGTCCAAGCGTTTTCCCGAAAGACCAACCGTTTTTAAATAACAAATATTTTAATATTTGAGGGGCGTTTTCACCCTCTTGGAATTTGAGATTCGAGAAACCCCTCCTTATCGAACCTCTACACCCCACAGTCAATCCATTTGCAAGTTTCAAATCAGCTTTAAACGTCAAGCAGTTTAAGCAGATTCGTGATTACACAATGGTCATATTTTATGAAACACCCTGTATAAATTTATAAAAAATCTTAAATATGTAAAACAACAAAATAAACTATATGTGTTTAAGAGTTTTTTTTTGAAAAACTCACCGGTTTTTAAATAAAAAATATTTTACTATTTGAGGGGTGGTTTCACCTTCTTGGAACTGGAATTTCGAAAAATCTCTTCTTATCGAATCTCTACACCCTAAAGTCAATCTGTTTTCCAAAAATCAGCTTTTTAGGTCAAGCCCTATAAGCAGGATCATGATTAATCAATGACCAGATTTTTCGAAACACCCTGTATACATTTTTAAAAAATCTTAAAATATGTAAAAAAAAACAAAATAAATTATACGTGTTTAAGCGTTTTTTCGGAAACTTGACCGTTTTTTCAAATAAAAAATATTGTAATATTTGGGGGGTTGTTTCACCCTCTTGGAACTGGAATTTCGAAAAATCCCTTCTTATCGAACCTCTACACCCTAGAATTAACCTGTATGCCAAAATTGAGCTTCTTACGTTGAGTGGTTTGAGCAGGATCGTGATTAATCAGTATGTCAGTCACTTAAGGATTTTATATATTAGTATAGATATGGGAGCTATTTCAATGACTTGATTATTACATAACTTAAAAGTTTTTAAACTATGTATATCATGGATTAAAATATATTTATCTCAATTTACTGATATCACGCTAGACTATCGGGGAATTTAGTATGTTTACAATGCGATTAGCCTGACCTCAAACTTGAATTTATGGTATAATAAATAAGTTTATTTTTTTCTAATTTATTTAAGGCAAAGATAATAATATAATTATACCGGGTAGACAAGAGAAGGATCCTGGGTTGGCGTTTACCTTCATGTCTAGAAGTGAATCGCTGTCGCGATCTCGTAAGTCGGAGAGAGAAAATTGCGGGGTTTATTACCTATCTACACATATCCCTGCCTACACACGTAAAAATTCGCAACACTGTATGCCACTTTTTATTTTGTCTCTTTGTCTCTCAACCAGTCATTTATATTTATGTCTGTCGCATGCATTAAAATACAGAGCACGAACATAAAGTGTCCAGGACTGTATACCATCTAAGTATTAAAATATCAGAAAATCCACAAAGTCAAAGAAAATTAATTTTTAAATAACAATTGACAGCTCACGTCCACTGAATAACGGTGACATACTAGACATTATAGAATAGAAATTCAACGGAAACTAGTAGGGAAATGGAGTTAGGAATAATTAAAAATAAGATTTCTGCATCTTTTAAACTGCCAGGAAGAGTAACCAAAAATATTAGGTGATCAAATCTATTTTTTCAAGGCTCCTTGAT